CGTTTCAAGATATCCGAAGGTTTTCTGCTTGCGATTTGTCGCTTGAACAGAAACTGAAAGTGAGTTTTAGATTATCTTTCATTTATTATAACGCATAATATCGAAATGCATCTTATTCTTTCAGATTCTAAACTTTATGAAGGGATTTGGAAAAGTTTCATTATGTATATCAATAAGAGGCTACTTCAATGTTACGAAAAAGTTTCCAGTTAAGGTACATGTACTTTTTTTAACTTTTTAAATTTTGTAAATAATTGTTTTATATATATATATATATATGCTTAATGTGATTCTTTCAGATGAGCAACGCTCTTCATTCTATATTTTCTGGTCTATTGAAACTCAGATCGGCCACTGAAAATTAAAAAAATTGACATTCGGGCAAATAACGTCGAAAATGAAAAAGTCTTTATAAAATTTGATTTCACAAACTTTAAACGAGGAGACAGTTCTTTCTTCTTATGTAGCACATGGATAACCAGAAGTAAAATATCACAAATACTTTAATTAGAGAATATTTTGAAGATTTCGTTCCATTTTGAGAGCATTCAAGCACAGGTTCCTGGCTACCTCGCCCTGGTTAATCCAATATTAGCGTATCTCTATTACAGAAGTAATTGTCAATCGTTATCCGGTAACTATTACACGAATTATTGTAAGACTCTTTTGTTGTCTGAAGAGATAAAGTACTGTAAAAATATCGACAACAATAAAATTTGGCAACACAGAAAAAGACACAGGCAAGCTTTATTTAAGGCAATACCTAATTCGAAATCTTTCCTATTCATTATTCAATGAAACGTTCTGTGTCTACTTACATAACTTGAAACATAGTACTTGATATAAAAATACAATAATTGAAAACTAAATTTTGATGAATTGGCATGGAAATTTATCATAATTTTTAATTATTATGTACAGTACTTACTATACTTTTTAAACAAATAGAATATCAAGAATATTGCATGATAAAAAACAAGTAAAGAAAGTTTACAAGACATTTTCTTACTTGTGAAAATTACATGAAATATGATGTAGGAGTAAAAAAACATTACTGGTAAAAAGTAAAAGAGCATCAAGCAGCTATTACATAGGGTATTATGACGTCACTATGTATTTATATTGCAGTGAAGCAAATTGTAGCACTAATTCTGATCATATATAAACCTTCTTTAAAGAAATGAATACATTTTTAGAACATTTTTCAATAACAAATAATAATAATACTGTATAAACAATATTAAATTTAGATAATGTCATTTATGTTGATGCCTGTCGATATAGATTTGTAAACTATAAATACAGTGCACGAGTATTGAATTGTATTATCACCGAAAAGTCTGAAGCATTGTCATTTTAGCGAAACACATTTAATAGGTAATGTATAATTGTATGATAAACGGTAAGAATTAAAATAACCCTTCTTTGATTTTAGTGTTGTTTAAATGTTTTAATCGCCTTTGAACTGGAAAGAGGGTGATTATATATATATAGATAGATAGCCTATATATAGTAAATTAAATACATCAAATAGTAAGCATAATAATTGTTTTAATGATAAGTTCTCGATGGCTGGTAAGTGAAAAAAATAATCGCATACAGTTATGCAGCTAACTATTCCTACTTATAACCTACTAATTACTGGGGTTACAAACCTCTATAATTGAAGCGTTGATCAAACATTACAGAAAACATAAAGGCAAAAAAGATACTAAGTTAGATGAAATTAACAAATTCACATACAATAAGTGTTTAAGAGGTGTGGTGAATGAGTTATTTCCTTATAAAAACTGGAGAATGTTATATAAAACAACGCAAATATTTATAGCTTAGTACGAAACGATAAAGACAGCATAAAAGAAAAAGAAATCTAGAGTATATAAAATACCGTTTAAATACCAACAGCTGGGAATCGCAAAGGATTACGTGAGTGTTAGTACGAGCACACTAGCAGTACATGTGCGAGAACGTAGATACAACGTTGACAAAAGACATAATATTAGCGATTATGGTACAGACCGAAAGAGCGGTGCGAACGTCATCAAAACGGTGCACTCTCCTTCCATTGCGTTGAAGGTGGTAATAATGGAAATTTACAAAAAAAAAAAAAGAAAATCCGTTGCTTAAATGCTAATTAGTCTAATGCGCTTCCAACAGCGTGAAATGATATAATATAGAAAAAATGGAACTAAAAAGCTCTTGAATCATGTACTCTTTTTAGTTAGCTTTGTTTTACTATGTAATATTTGCTCGTTTTTATTTTTATTTATTTTATTTATTTACTTTTTATACACAGATGTGACAGATATTAATTAATTTACACAGTTCTTTTATTTTAATTTATCGCATCTTGACATTTTTCTCCAATGCGTGTCGCTTCGCGTTGAATTTTCGTCGATGATAAGCCTAACAAAGACTTGTAGTTTTTTATTTTATACGAATAAAATAAATATATTGAAAATTATAAGAACAATAAAAAATTATACTTCAGAAGTTTATTTAGTATCAAAAAAGTAAAATATTTGAGTAGCCCAACACATAGCCAAAGATTGCAGCGCCTCAGCACTGGCGAAAATTTAAATTTGTCGACTAGACTTCTTTCGGATGATTGACTTTCGGATAATCAATGCTCTACTGTACTATTAAACAGATGAGATTAATTATTACCGGCACTTAATATAACAAGTTACAAATTCATGACGTCATAGTACTAGTTCTTGAGCTGCAATTTGAAAAAATTGTCGATCTATAAATTTCCACTGTCGCTTGTCTGGCCGTCTGTGAGACTTTTTTTAATCTCGAGGAAGAAATTTCATATATGTAAGGTTAGACCGGAGTTAGAAATATTAGAGACAGGAAGTTTCGATTAACTATACAGTATATGAACTTCGGATTTTCATCGAAAGTGACATTATTTTAATTGAAACATTTTTTCTGAAAGATGTTAGATGGCCAGTACGACTCTATTATTAAAATAAACATAGTGTACAAGGTACTAATTTAAGGTGAAAAACACATATTTTAAATTAAATAAATTAAAAATATGATTAAAAATTAATGCTTGTAATTGTAACGATGTCACAATAAATAATCGCTCGTTTTTTTATTGTGAGAATCTGGGCCCGATAATTCATAAACTTAAAAATTTGAAAAACAGGAACCACTTTTTTTCGTAGTCGTGACTCACAGAGAAACTTTCGATTTAGAAAACGGTTCCTGAGGAGAGATGTAGACTTTGATAACAACTCACAGAGCTTATTTTCGAATGTTAGCTGCCTGCATGCTGCTATTTGGCCGCTCCTTTCAATGCTAATCGCGAGTGAATTTATAACTTAACCCAACCATTAGAGTCTACTGATGTGTTTTACGACAGTTTCCTATAGTTGACAGAGATAAAAAACATCTATAAAAGTATTTCTATTTAATACTATTTAAATTAATCTGCTCCGTATATATCAGGCACCTTTCCTTAATAGAACGGGAATAAAGATCTATTCACAATTACATTTAAGCATAAACATAAAACCTTATATTATTTAATGCAACCATTCGCAACTAGTTATGTAAGTGTAACTTTAAACTTTATCATAAGACGCTAACATAAATAAAGCTCTGTTTTTGCATTCATAAACTGCACAACTATATCATCAATTGTCTTGCAAACAATTTATTTCATCGTCGACCACTATATTAAAATAATATTAAATTATATTTAAATTTCATTTTTTAAAGTTCGCTATCGGCCACTCCAGGAATTTGACCGCCATGTCCTTGTACGCATTGCATACCTACTAGAACCGTCCCTGTCAACTTAACCAGGGAATTCCTTGTTGCTTCTCTCCTTCAATGACTGGAATTGTCCCAGATAATTGCACAGACGAAATTATATAAATAGAACCAAACACAAACGCCCAAATTTTTCTTATATCATATTTAATAATGGTAATTCGTAATGTAATTAATTAACGGCCCTCGTTACTTACCAACTGGGTGCCTAGCTCAACCAATAACCAGTGTTGCCGCAATGAAATTTCAAAACGTACTGAAGCGCCTTCAAAAAAAATGTACTATTTTCCTTCAAAATGTACTAGTTTCATGAATACTTGTTTACGTGCCTATATATAAATATATATACTGTATATATAGGCAAAGCTAATCAACGGGAATCGAAAGAGACAGGTCATAAGAATTTCTTCTCTTGAAATTTCAATTTATCAACTCCGTCAAAAATTGTTCTAATTAAGAATGGATCACATCGTTGGATAGCCCTTCAAAAGCAGGTCAGATCGATATATTACTTACTCGGGTACGATAAAGAGGGAGGGTGTTAGGAAGGTCCGAATCCCGGACATTTTAGAATTTAATAGCGAGGGGCTAAATTAAGATAGGGGGATAAAAATTGGGTGGGACGTACAGGACGTTAGCCCAAGCACAGGGTGTAAATTTGATTAAGCTGGGGTAATTAGAATTTAAATAAGGGCTGTTTTAGAATTGCATACATTTTAATTACTATCTATAACGGTTTCCAACGGCCGTTAGTGTTAGTTGCCATAGTCAACGGTCATCCGTAACGACTTTTATACAAAAATAAGGTGGTTAACAATTTTACTGGTTATTAATAGGTTAGATAGACTGATTAGGCCCCAAAATACTACTTTTTAATCGGTAACGATAAATTTTTTTGATTGACAGTTTAATTCTATATATTAATTTTTAGTCGTGACAGATGGCCATATATAAGGTGGTTAACAATTTTGCTGGTTATTAATAGATTATATTGGCTGATTAGGCACAATATTATTACTTTTTAATCGGTGACGGTAAATCTGTTTGACTGACAGATTTAGTATTAAAATAATTATTAATTTAATTATTAGGTTTAAGTCCTATCTTTTCGTACTGTGCTATTGAGTATTCACTCGGTAACACAGTATCGCTTGGCACTGGGCCATCTTAAACACAATACACTTCTTCTAATTGGTTTATATTTGAGTTTTAAGATGGAAAACTTAGAAAATAACTTTGATCAAATATCGGAAGACCAGCAGGAATGCTCCAGTGAAAAAACGGTTAATTACTACAATGAAAATAACAGTGAAACAGCTGAATTTAAGCTTCTAAAAGAAGCGAAAACACAATTGAAGAGGATAATGGATCTTATTCCAGAATCCTATAAAATCCATATCAGGAATGAAGAGAGGAAAGAGGTGAAAGATAGGGTTGTACAGATGTACGCAACGGTACAACAAATGTACGGGATTCTTAAAGAAGTAAGATCAGAAAGAGAAGAAAGAAACAGCATAACACCAAATTTACTGGAGTCTATCAAAGAAATCAAAACAAATATACAACATTCAAACAAGACTTCAAGTCAATTGAGTTACGCTGAAGTCACTAGATCCAACATAAGTACACAACAAATGGGAAGTCAAAATAATAGAGATATAATTAACAATAGTAACGAGGAAGGCAACAGTGCGGTATTAATATACCCAAATAGTGAGCAAGAAACAAATATTAACATGGAAGGAATCGTTACAAAAATTAAGGAAAACATTCAACCAAAGCAAATTAAGATTAAGGTTAAGGGGATTAAGAAGATTAGAGGGAATGGAGTTTGCATAGTGGTTAATAATAACGAGGAAGGTGATAGACTCAAGAACGCGATAAAAAAAATAAAAGAAATAGACAATAAAATAAAGTGTAGAGTCGCAGGAAAGCGTCAACCAAAAATAATATTGCTAAACGTACCAAACAGTTTACCAGAAGAAGATATCATAGAGATAATGATAAGGCAAAATGATATTTGGAGAGGTTTAGATGAAGACAATCTAATAAAAGACTGTCGGTTAACATCAATAATCAAAAGTAAAAGGTCAGAAGGGAAAAGCAGACATATTATCATTACAGTTACACCAACAATAAGAAATTTTTTAATGAAAAATAAAAATATAGCACTTCAATGGTACTCAATTCAAGTGGATGACTATATCCCTATACAGCGTTGTTTTCAATGCTGTGGGTTTGGACATTGGGCTAGAGATTGTAAGGAATCTCAAAAATGTAGCCATTGTTCCAAACAGCACAGATTCAGTGAGTGTAAACTTACGAATACTATACCGGCATGTACCAATTGTAAGAGAAACAATATTGGGCTTCCACCGGATAAAAAACTAGCAACAAACCACAACGCATTTGACAAGATATGCCCTCTTCTTAAAAAGTTAAGGAAACAATTAATTGGAAGAATAGATTATGGACCATAGTACTACAGTAAATAATACTCAGTATAGTAATAAGAATACTCAGCATACTAGCAATAAAAGGAATACGAAAGAAGAGGATAATTTAAATATCATACAGTTAAATGCACAAAGGGGAAAAGCACCAAGCTCATTATTGGCCTACAAAGCAAACGAACTGAATGTTGATATAGCATTAATTCAGGAACCCTATACAGTGAATAAGAAAATAATGGGACTTGGATGCTGGCAGCTCATTTACAAACCAACAGATAAAACACCAAAAACTTGTATAAGTGTTAGGAATAAAAATATAAACATAGCATTAATCCCAGAATTATCATCGAATATCATAACAACGGTGGTAATCCATCTTAAAATTAGTATAATTTTGATTAATGTATACCTTTCGCCATATATGGACGATGCAAAAGGAGTGGAAGAGATTGCAAGGATTTTAGGGAGGATAAATATTAAAAATATAATTGTAGCCGGGGACATAAACGCAANATTACTAAAATTGAAGTTCATAATTTAAGAATTAAATTATAGTGGTAGAAAATAATATAAAAGTATTTATATTATTTATACTCGTACAATTTCAAAACTATTTTCTGTAAAAATTTGTTTCTGACTTAACGGATATTTTGATATTATTGACGACAAAAGTTTAAAATCATTGATTTCCTTACCTGTTTATTATTTTTATTTGACGGAGTTGAATTGTTTGGACCACGTGGCATGAAAACCGTAAATGATACTTGAAATATTATAATGTACTGAAAATGTACTAAAAATCTAAATGTATTTTCAAGTTACTGGAAAGGGCAAAATGTACCAGAGAAGTACAAATGTACTAGGAACGGCAACACTGCCAATAACAGGTATAACTAAAGAGGCCCTCTTAGTGTCCACATATAGGAAATAGAAAAAAAAAAACATTAAGTATTATTGAATCACTAGATTTTAAAATCGGGAACGAGAAACCAGATAATCTGTGATAAAAATTGTTTGGGGAATTTTTTTTATTCTTCATTTATCAACATGTCTTTTGCTGTTTAGCAATTAAGTGCATCATTAAATAAAAGATAAATAAACATAGGTCAGTTTTTCAGTTAACAATGTAAAATAAAAAATGCTTAAAGTAATCGAATCCAAATAAATGAACATAATGACTAAAAAATAAAAAAGTGATGAAAATTATGGATTAAGGAAATAAAGCATCAGGACACAAGCGATCTGCCAAAGAGGAATGCCTACCTGCAAGACTTTCTATTGGAAAACTCGCCTTTTATTTTGGAATACATGTGAAAAATACAAATTATTCTACTTGGACAGTCCGTTGAAAGAGTGTTAACTCACAACAAACTATCAGCATTATTTGTTTCACAACTCAGCTATTGGTGGGCTCGAAATTTACGAGAAAATCGTGTCGTTTTGAATTAATTAACGTCCATGTTTATCTATATATACAGTATATGTAAAAATGGACGTGTGGGTCCCTATATTTCACTTTTCAGCCAAAAGTACACATCGCACATGAATGCTGTTTGTATGTGGTAGTAGCCCCAAGTCTCCATTCGTGCCCTATGGTGGTTGCGTCTCGATAGCTGTAAGGGTGCGTGAGATATGGGTGTTTAAAGTGATTCAAAGTGGAAAATTTTCTTTTTCGATTTTAAAAATTTTCGAATTTGGTTCGGTTATAGAACGATTGTAAACGTTCCAAAAATTGATCAAATTGAAAATAGTTCGTTTGACCGGACGTAAAAATTCTCTATTTAATCTGGAAACGGGGGACCTATTTCTTGCTTTCTGTGAAAACGGGTAAGATTAGCTATAATGTAATTATCTTAATCTTCACTATTGTTACTTTTGTCCACAAATAAAAACCCAGCGAAGCGGGTCCTTGCAGCTAGTTTAATATATTTTTCGTGCATAATCGGTTATCCGAAATATCAGTCTACCGAACAACCCCAGTCCCCAATTGATTCGGATAATCGACACTCTACTGTATTTATTATGGTAATTTTCAGGAGCTATTAGTGAATCCATCAAAGTCAATTATCTAACAACGCATTAATTAAAAGAGTGAAACCAGTACATTCCAATTAATGTCCTTCTACATGTAACTTTAATTACTGCATTTGATTAATTGACTAATAAAGATAACGATTCTGCTATTATATTCCAGAAATATTAATGCTTAATAGAAGCAAAGAAAACTGTTTTTCGATACGATTGCACAGAATAGTTTTTAAAAAATTATTTTATAAAACAACTGATAAAATTGAAAATACAAAGTAATGAGCAATTATTTAATGTGATATCATCACAATACCAGACTGCAACTTGTAGTGACATTTTTAAGTTACTTAATTTAGAATATATGCACTCAAAAGTTAGTTTTGTTACATCTGATTACTTTAATTTTTTTTTTATTTTATCTTTGGTAGAGCTTTATTAAAGGTATATCTTCGACATTTAACACGACACCGAATTCCGATCTCAATTAGCAGTGTTTGTTCTTAAAACTTACATTATTTACTTATTCCTTCGTCGCTTTTATTTTATGTTTTTAATTTGTTTTTCTCCTATAATAAAACATTTTTTTAAACAGTTAAAGAAAGATTCGGTTATTGTTTGAAGCTTCGCATTAAGTTGAAGTTTATTAACTAGAAGCAAAAGTATGTCTTATCCATTATTTATTAAGTGGAAGCAATGGAAAATCTCCAATATAGTAGTCTAGAGAGCATGCTCGTGTTTTTTACTGTGTCACAAAGTTTATTTCCTGCAAACGCGTACGTTTTACCTTTAATTCCTCAACGCCAAAAGGGCCTTTTTAATGTCTATAATAATTTTGATGAGGGCAATTTCGAAACGGATGATGCAAAACGGAGATATGACAAACGAATTATAGTGTGAGTTAATCCTTGCGAAAGCCATTTCGCAAGGAATAACTCGCACTGCGATTGAAAAGTGGATACGTAGAGCGTCGTTTATCCGAATCAATTAGGGACTGAGGTTGTTCAATTAACTTATTTTTTGGATAACCGATTGCGTTCGGAAAAATATATTAACCTATCTCATGTTAAAATTTTTCTCCGTTGCGTGTCGCTTCGCATTGAATTTTCCTCCATGTTAAGCTTAACGAAGACCATTGTATCGTTAAAAATTATTTTTTTTTCACAAACATAAAAATATATTGAAAAATATAAAAACAATAAAAAATTATACTTCAGAAGTTAATTTAGTATCAAAAACATAAAATATTTGAGTAGCCCAAGACATAGCCGATGATTGCAGCGCCACAGCAATGTGATTTTGTTTATTATGTACGTGGATTTTTACTGCTGTTCTTACGATTACGATTTATTTCATAATTTTTAACATAATTCTTGCTTTAATCTATTTTTTTCTTCATTTTTTTCTCTATGACACTGAACAAACACAAGAATCGTTTTTATTTTTATTTTATTTCTTCTTTGTTTTGATTTGTTTTCTTGCTACAAATTGACATTTCTCTTTACTTTTGTCATAAAGTTGAGAACTGACATTGTCTACTTCATCAACGCCACATTTCTTCCATTTTGCCCATTTAGAAATTTTCCTATTTGAAAAAATTGAAACTGCTTATTTATCCTTATATATTCAAACTTTGATATACAAATTTAATCGTCTTTTATGCAGATACATGTGCTAGTTGTACTTTGTTAAGCATTACTTATTGTAGTTGCAATCAGTGTAGAATAAGTTAATTTTTTAAGAGAAATTTTTTATATAGACAGTATAATAATAAACATGATGTATTATTTGTTTAATACTTCTAAAATTTTAACGTTTGATTGAAGTTCATATAATTTCCAATAACATGAGCATATAGCTCATTATGAGTTGTCTGTGCTACCAAATCATCTATTAGTAAGGAATTTAAAATTGTTAAAGATAAAATATGCAGCATGTAACATGAAAATCAATATATTAAAATATCATTAAAATGTCAGATTATTCCGAAATACTCTTAAAAAATTTTGAATAGTATTTCAGAATGTAAGCCTAATTACTTACCCTTATGTAAAAGTACTTAAAAGCAACTAAAGATGTGGTTTTGTGTTGTTATAACTAATTATATTTGAAATGGTTTGTTGATGTAATGTTAATTAACTTTATAAAGGAAATTCGTAGCAAATAGACATTTAATTAATTTTGTTTACTATCCCATTATATTTTAATTTGGAATACACCATTATTATTATTATTAATGCCACTATAATATTATTAGAGATAATGAGTTTACGTAACCAGTATTTCTAAGAATAGTTTCATTTCGTTCTGAATAACCTAGACAAAAATACAGACTGAGCATGAATTCGAATTTACAAGAGGTATGTCTGAGCTGTTTTATCAGCCCTTGTTGGACAACGGCTGTTATATTTGGGTTGGACGCATTTGAAACTTGTAATTGTAAATGTTCAAAGAAAGACAGAAAATTTCAGAATACCAAATTAAAAAATATCAATATTCGATTTATCGAACTGACTTTACGTGGATATACAATTCTTCTTATATGGCAAGTGTTCCCAGTAATCAATGAATATGCGATATGCATTGGTTGGTATGACGTGAGACAGTTGATAGCGTAATTTCCTTTAGAAAATAGGCAATTGAGTACGAACAGTTTGACCAACCAAAATATTTAATGGAAATGGTGTGTTCTGAATGTGCCGGGATTTGTCTCTCATTATGCAGCTGCCCCATTGCCATCCTAGCTGAATTCATAAAGGCAATAAAAAACGTATTTTACTTAACCAAAAGCAAAAACTAATTTATAAAATTTACAATCAAGAATTTATAGAGATTAAAAACTAGAAGGTAGATTACATTCAAAACAACTAGTGCCAATTAGTGTGAACAAAACTTACCAAGTTATCGTTTCGCCAGCATAATTTTTGAACATTAAAATAACCGCTGAAGTATCCAATTTAAATAAAAAATAGTCAAATATGGCAGCTTTCATCATTACAACA